AGTAAGACTGCCATAAAGACAGGTTAATGCATTCTGTAAAGGGCACACAATGTAGATCTTACCAACATTACCGAGTCCTATTTTCAATTTTTTTCTGAAATCAACAAATTTGAAATAATTTACAATATCAACAAACAGTCATTCCACAGAAACTTGTACAGCACTCATCGAGGCATTGAAGGCTTGCATGTCAGGTGTAAGGACTGCATTCCTAAAAAGTGTTTAAAGGTGGAGACTTAGCGGATAGGCTGGGTCGCCATATATGCACATCGGTTGGCCAAAAGGGGACACAGCATGCCTCTGCAAAAGATTTAGTTAACCAGAGTCAGTCAACATTCCAGCGTCATGTTCCTTACCCTCTAAAAAAACAACAAACAAAACCCATTAAAGAGGTGTGTTTAAAAAATATGAATAGTGCTATTTTATTGAGGATAGGAGATATTGTCATCAACGATGAAAACGATTAAATGTAAACTCACCAACTGGTCCAAACATGTTTCCAATCATCCCGTTTGGAAGAGCCAATGATTGGAACTTTAAAGCGTGAACTCTTTTGTGTCGCTTATAATGTGCTCTCGGTGCTCACTGTTGTACAGAGTACGACACTCTCCAGTTCAAAATCATTGCGCAAGGTAAACCCCTATCAAGAAGAGGAATCCTTTCAACAGTTAGTTCAGTGTTTTACCCCCTCAGACTGGTTGCTCCATTCATTTTGGTGGGCAAGCGCATTCTAGAAGAACTGTGCCATGACGGTGTTAGCTCAGATGACGAAGTTGCTGACGACTTAAGAACTCAGTGGGAGAAGTAGAGAGCCAAACTTCAGTTTTAGAAAGTCTCCGGATAAAAAGATGTCATAAGCCTCAGAAATTCGATGTGGTGAAGAACGTAGAGCTGCACCACTTCTCTTATGCTTGTGAGAATGGCTACGGGCAGTGTTATCTCCGCCTAGTTGACGACAAGAACCGCATCCATTGTTCTTTAGTGATGGGAAAGTCACGTGTAACCCCCCTCAAGCCAGTACCTATACCCAGACTGGAACTGACGGCTCCACTCGTCTCATCAAAGCTTAGCTGCATGCTGCGGCAGAAGCTGGAGTATGCACCAATAAAAGAAATCTTCTGGACTGACAGTAAGACGGTGCTGGGTTACATCAATAATGACGCCAGACGATTCCATGTATTCGATGGTAATCGAGTTCAGGAAATACGCGAGCAGTCATCGCGTAACCAGTGGCATTACGTCAAAATGAAATCCAATCCTGCTGACATAGAGTCCCGCGGTGCCAGAGCTCAAGAGCTTATTGACAACCCTTTAAGGTGGAATGGACCAGAGTTTCTTTGGAACTCATGTGAAGACTGGGATTCTGTCAATGACAATCCTTCGATCCCTTCTGATGACCCTGAAGTCAAGAAAGTTTCCGCAAGAGCTACTCAGATCCAAGAGTCAAGGCTATCATCTGTACTGGAGCGTTTGACATATTTCTCCAGCTGGTACCACTGAAGAAAGCAATTGCTGTCTGTCTCCGACTTCAATTGAAAGTAAATGAAATTAAAACAAATTGAAAAATTTTTGATGGTGGCCTAAAATTGCCATAGGCCAAGATGCCTTACGGGCTCGACCTTGTGACAAGTCAACATGACGGACAGGAGAAAGAAATCTTGGGGCACATTTAAGAACGAGATGAAAGCCAAGAGGAGTAAACCTGGAGATGGCGGTGCGAAGAAAAACGAAAAAGGCAACATTCTTGAAAGACAAGAATTGGTAGTGCAGAGACTGAGCTCAGAAGTATCCGACAAAGCCTACTAGGGTAGGGCCCCGCAAGTTCGTGCAGTACAATGAGGAGGAAATCTCCACTGAAGGGATCAAAGCACCTTGCGAGAAACATTTCTCACCCTCATTGGAACACAAAGGATTGTCCTGTGATGTTTTGGCCGGTGACCAGGGGCCATCTTGTCACTCAAAGAAGCACATTCCTGATTTAAAGGTGATCCTTGTACGATTTATCAAGTCATCGAGCACACCAGACAGCAGGCCGATTGCAAACGACTACGAATCGAGTTCATCTAGACAGCAATACTTTAGTGAACCTGTAACACCCCCGCAACGAAACCGGCAGGACCCAAACAAGGCACAAAGCACTGGTTCACCAAATGTGAAACATGTAATTCCCAAGAGTTTGTCCATTTCGCATATGATGAAGCTTGGGAAGCTTGCCAAGCCAAATGAATCAGTTTCTGTACAGGATGTTTATTCATTTGACTTGGAGAATATCGCCTGGTCTCTTCTCCCTCAAAAGGTAGAGTTTGTAATTGAAGAAGATGTGCTGTGAAGGGGAGGATTTAGGCAAGCCTTCAAGGCAAGAAGTTGCTCCACAACCTTCAACACCTCTATTTGGGTAGTAAAGAAGTTTTTACCGTAAACTGTCAAGGGGATAACCAAAGATATCAAGATAACAATTAAAGAACACCCAAGGAAAGTCGTGCAAATGCACGCCCTGGCAAAAAACATTGCTGAGCAACTTGGCAAAAAAGTCCAGGAACTTAATGTTTCAAAGGAGTTTGGGGAAACTTTAAAGTATAGAGGCATTCACCTTGCCAAACTAGACAGTGACTGTTTGACTCTGGAGGAGTTTAATGAAGGGAAATTTGAGAAATACATTAACAATACAGGTGAAGTCTGTATGCCAAATGATCATGTCATCGGGCAAAAGGCACAATGCTTGCCACACTTCTCTTATGAAATTTCAAATTCACAACTCCTGGTAGTTGACCTACAAGGCAGTGGACACATGTTGTATGACCCCGAAATTGCTACCACGCAAACGTTTGACAGTGATAATGAATTTCTCTTTTGTGCAGGAAACCTCAATATTCTTGCAATATCTGCTTTTGTAAAGGCGCATGCTTGCAATCGATTTTGTCGCTTACTTGGTTTAAAGCAGCTTGAGCAAGAATGTAAAACTTAAATGAAAGGGCATAGGAAGATTTTTTTTCTGTAGTAAAAAGGACCATTTTTCCTTTCAAGACATTTCCATGTTCTAGGCTTCTATACCAGTCTACATATCTTTAGTTAATGCTGTCAAAATCATTTTCCAATGAAGAGCATGCGATGTGCTTAGCTGAATACCAAAAAGGCACTAGTTAAACTCCAGTAATCACAAGCAAGTGGTCAAGACATGCAAATCTTCATTCAGTAATGTGTACCCAAGTATTGGCCAGCACTGTCCAGAGTTATGACTTTGCAAGGAAAACAAAAACTTCAAAGAAACTTATATATTCATTATTTTGCTGAAAAAGGAACAATGCTACTAGGGTGTTTTTAATTTTCCATTGCAAAATGCAAGATAATTTGATTATGAAACATGAAGAAATGATCGTTGCAGTGAACGCAATTTATGCAATTGCGTAAAGAAGCCTGGAAAAAAATTCAGGACTTCTACGGGGTCTGAACCCATGACCACGCAATACCGATGCGATGCTCTACCAACTGAGTTATGAAGCCACTATTGTTGGGAGCAGGTCAATTGTGGGTTCATATGTTCCTGTGAAAGAAATGAGTGTTAATGATATATGAAATAAATCGTATATGAACTGCGGAAATGAAATGAAAAATGAAGAAATGATCGTCACAGTGAACGCAATTTATGAATGTAAAGAAGCCTAAAAAAAATTCAGGACTTTAACGGGGTTTGAACCCGTGACCTTGCGATACTGGTGCGATGCTCTACCAACTCAGCTATGAAGCCACTGACCTTGGGAGCAGGTCAATTGTGGGTTCATATGTTCCCGTGCAAGAAATGAGTGTTAATGATATATGAAATAAATCATATATGAACTGCGGAAATGAAGCCTGCTCCCAACCAACGTCAGTGGCTTCATAGCTCAGTTGGTAGAGCATCGCAGCAGTATCGCGAGGTCACGGATTCAAACCCCGTTGAAGTCTTGAATTTTTTTTAGGCTTCTTTATGCAATTGCATAAATTGCGTTCACTACGACGACCATTTCTTCATTTCATTTCCACTGTTCATATATGATTTATTTCATATATCATTAACAATAATTTGATTATATCTGTCTCTTTTGGCTTTTCAAACTATTGTCAAAGTAGCATAACAGGGCTCCTTAACTATTCTACTACCCAAAGTGGAACCTTGGTTTTAACTTTTTCATCTGTGGATAGTGTCGTGTGAAGCTTACTGAGCTATACTTTCATGTTATACTATTTGTTTTTAATTTTTTTTTGCAAACTGTATTTTCCGACTTTTTCAAATTTGACTGTTGCATACTTGGCAGAGAAAGGCTTGAATGGCTAAAGTACAGTGACTCACGTGCATTTGCCATAAGCAGATTCACTGACAGGTGGTGATTGACCGTAAATGCACAGTAGAGTATGTTACAACATTTGAGTGGCTTCTTGTTGTCTATACCACTTTCTTCTGGCAAAGTTAACATAGGTATGTGACTCAGTCTATACATTTTTACAAACCAGAGAAATAGTGTATTCCCAGAGAACAGTACAGATTGATTGGAAAATTATAATGTCAATGATAAATTTTTGGTTTTTGTTGTTTTAAAGAGTAGGTTGGAACGGCAATATGGTTAACAGATATTCTTACCAAATGTTGTTGTTAATAGTAGTACATATGAAGGTAAACTCCCTTCTCAGGTTTGACCAGGATTTCCTTTGTTTCCGCATTACCCAAATTATTCAAGACTGTGAACAGGACACGCAAAAAGATGCTGAATAAAACCAGGTTGAATACTTGTTTAACCTGAGAACGGATTTTGCCTTCCACTTATACAAAAGTTGTTGCTTTTAGTGTGGTAGCACTTCAGTGATATTACAAGTATTTGTATTTAGCATTGTAAGGTCTGTTGAGAGGTTCTCAATAGGGGGCAGGCTTCTACTTATCCAGTTGTGTTGATACAGTTTCAGTTCCTTGTTATTAAACTGGTCATGAAACCTTCTCAACCTTGTTCCAAGAACCCTGGGAACATGGGTTGGAAACCTTGTCTGATTTATAATAGTAAAAATTGAAAAAAAAAAATCGTGGGAAAGTCTCAAAGCTGAATGTTGTCTCTGAGGTAATGAAATACACGAACACAGTCATTGACATCCAGTGCCAAGGGGTCAGGAATTATCTGCTCACATTTGGCCCTTAACTCAGGTGATAAAAAGTCATCATGACAGGCAAGTACATCAGACAGCTGGGCAACCTCTTCAAGCTGCTCTTCTTTTACTTTCCATCCTGTAAAGACAAGCCAAGATGATCATCATTATGACACATTCATTATCCTTGTTACAACTGATACCTATTACATGAATAAGGTATAACAGCATTTGAGTCAAGTTTTTATTTTGTAACGAAATTTTGCAAATTGTGTAGTTTTAGGTTTTTAGTCAAGTACACTATTTTCAATTGATTTTAGGACATTTTTCCTAGAAATATGTCAAAAGTAAAAATAACTCAGAAAGTCACATACATGTATGAAGATAGCAATGCTCCCTGTTATGATATCTAGAACTTTCTGGAATTCATCTACATTTGCTTTTTGGATAAGAACATTCTAGAACGTCAGTTTGCTAATCTCTATTATTATCCCAAGCGTTATGCAAGTCTCTATAAATAGACTGATTATGTATTTGTTTGGAACATTCTAGAAATCCCCTCTTTAAGGTATATAAGCAACCCCTTGACTAGTTTTTTCTGTCTGTTAGTATGTCATTAGCTCTACGAGTGTAACCTACTTCTGAAGAGATTAAAGTTTGTGTTCTACGAGACCTAGTGTGTTCATAGTTTGACAACTATGAACACACATATTGGCCGCTATCGCTGGCTCAGAATGCCATTTGGTATAAACTCAGCCCTGGAAGTATGGCAATAGCGAATGCATAAGCTAGTGGAAGGACTCACAGGCGTAGAAGTCATCGCCGATGATCTCCTAGTTTGTGGTTTTGGAGACACTAATGAAGATGCAATAGCTAACCATGATCAGAATCTCAAAGCTTTCCTTAGGCGCGCAAGAGAAAGAAACCTCACTCTCAACAGCGAGAAGCTGAAACTTCGACAGTCACAAGTTCCTTTCATAGGACACCTCCTCACAGCTGAAGGTCTAAAACCTGACCCGTCAAAGGTACAGGCCATAGTTGACTATCCAGTGCCTACCAACCTCGCAGAACTGAGAACGTTTTTAGGAATGGTGCAGTATCTGGCAAAATTCTGGCAACATCTGTCTACAGCATCCCAGCCTTTAAGACAGTTGGAGAAGAAGGAAGTTGAATGGCATTGGCAACGCCCTCAAAGTAAAGCCTTCGACGAGATAAAAGATCTCGTCACTAAAGCCCCAGTTCTACGGTACTTTGACGTGAGTAAGAATATAACTATACAGTGCGATGCCTCACAGTACGGTATTGGTATTGGAAGGACAGCCAGTCCACTACGCAAACAGAGCACTGACCACCACAGAGCAAAACTACGCCCAAATAGAGAAGGAGCTCCTTGCTTTTGTGTCCTCTTGTGAGCATTTCGAACATTACATTTATGGCAAACACGTCACAGTCGAAACAGACCACAAGCCACTGATTGCTATACAGAAGAAGCCAATCAATCAATCAATCTAAAAGACTACAGCATATGATGCTTCGTTTGCAAAGATTTGACCTGAATCTTACTTACAAGCCTGGCAAAAAGATGTACATTGCTGACGCACTTTCTCGCGCTCTACCTAAGCAGTCAAAGATATCAAGCACCTCACACTTCTGTGACGATCTAGAAACTGTCAACTTTGTTGAAGACTTGCCGATATCTGACTCAACACTTGCAAAGTTTCAAGTAGAGACCGCCAAAGATGAATCTCTACAAGTGTTGTCACAAGTTATACGCGCTGGTTGGCCTACGAAAACTTCGATGGTACCTACTAGCGAACAGCCCTTTTTCAAATATCGAGACGAGATGACACTCCAAAATGGCCTAATATTTAAAGGAACGAAGATAGTCGTCCCACAGAGTCTTCACGGATGTATGTTGGAGGAAACACACAAATCTCATCAAGAATTGCAAGCATGCCTTCGAAGAGCTATAGAAGTTTTCTTCTGGCCAAGGATTTCTGCACAACTCAAGGATCTAATTGATAAGTGTTCTATATGCCAAAGTGTTAAACCTGAACAAGCTAGTGAACCTCTTCAACCTCACCCAGTTCCTGACAGGCCATGGCAACGAGTTGCAACTGATTTGTTTACCTTTGAGAACCGCAACTACCTTGTATTAGTTGACTACTACAGCAACTTCATTGAGCTGGACTATCTTGCTAACACTTCGTCCCAGACAGTCATTCACAAACTGAAGATGCATTTTGCAAGGCATGGGGTACCATATTATGTTGTTTCCGACAATGGTCCGCAGTATACATCCTCAGAGTTCCGAAGATTTGCAACAACATGGAAATTCAAGTATGTCACCACCTCACCGCACTACTCACAAGCTAATGGGATGGCCGAAAGTGCAGTCAAAACATGCAAGACAATAATGAAGAAAGCTCTTCTGTCAAAATCCGATCCATATCTTGGATCATTAGATCACCACAACACTCCTACTGCCGCGACAGGTATGTCACCCTGCCAACGTCTTTTTGGTCGCCGAACTAAGACACTCCTAACCTTCTCAGAACCTCTACTCAAGACCGAACAAACAGTTAGTGACCTTCTCAAGAAGGATCGTGTCAAGCAAGCAAAGTATTTCGACCAGCATACCAAACAACTCTCAGAACTCTAGTCAGGTGACATAGTGCGCATGAAACTGCCTGGTGGAACACAGTGGTGACAAGCAGTTGTTTCTTCTAAAATCGCACCTCGCAGCTACAAGGTTGAAGTCAATGGTAGATTCTATAGGCGTAATCGTAAGCAGTTGCGTTCTACCAAGGAACCACTTCAAGAATCTCCCTATGAGATGGACGAAGATGACCTAACGACTTCAAACAATCTGTCGGAACAGACCCAGCCCTCTCCAGCTAGTACTCAAGCAAAAGTAGCCACAACCCCTCCTAGGCGTCACCTTTTCCTCTCACCTCGAACAACAGAGCTGAGTGGAAGACCGCCTCAAGTAACTAAAACAACTGAGATAAGGACGAGATATGGACGATTAATCAAGCCGCCTAAGAAGTTTGATATTGAATCATAGTGATGAGCATTGTAACCTATACTTACTTCTTTTAAAAAGGGAAAGATGTTATGATATCTAGAACTTTCTGGAATTCATCTACATTTTCTTTTTGGATAAGAACATTCTAGAATGTCAGTTTGGTAATCTCTGTTATTATCCCAAACGTTATGTAAGTCTCTATAAATAGACCGATTATGTATTTGTTTCGAACATTCTGGAAATCCCCTCTTTAAGGTATATAAGCAACCCCTAGACTAGTTTTTTCTGTTTGTTAGTATGTCATTAGCTCTATGAGTGTAACCTACTTCTGAAGAGATTAAAGTTTGTGTTCTACGAGACCTAGTTGACTCAACGTTCCTCATTGACTGACAAAACTCTCTCATCCTTTATAGTGTTTGGATAGTTGGTTAAGCTTGTTAATTATCCGAACAAAATTTTCACTGGAGTTAGTGTATTTATTACAACCATTCCCATTACTTCTCTCGAACATATTAGTAAACATTGTGTCTACAAAAAGTAGTGGTCATACCACATTCCTAAAGACCATACTGCTTTAGAAAATTATAAATGTGATTTGGAATTCCATCTGGCAGGAAGGTGTTTTTCTGCGCTCGAATGCGATGGCTGTTCCACATAACATCAACAAAAATGTCAACTTCCTTCTGCGTTATTGGAACCATCAAGTAAGCCAATAAGTGTTTGAAAGGAATAGTGAGAGAAGAAGTTCAATTGAATGAAATCCTTAGAAAATCGGTCAATTTTTGGTGTAAGTTAATGACTACTGAAATTAATTTTGGCCAATCAAAGCAGACCCTGTTATGGCTACAGGCCCACGTCCCACACACCAAAGTGACAAGAATACGTACATGGTATGTCCACTGATATGTATTGCATTTTTGAAGGGCTACCTCTGGAAGACTGTTATTTTTCCCTTACAGGTTTCCTGGTGTCCCCTCCTATTCATTGTAGCTCACTTAAGCATCACTTGACATACAGTATTGAATTTCTACACCTGCTAACACTGTACACTACTCAGTCAAGTCCCATAAAATTCTAAACAAGTCGGTAACTACAATATAATTGGGCTTAGTTCTTCCAAACCCCGATTTCAAGAAGATGAGCATTATTTTATGAAGGCTCCTGGATTATTCCAAAACATTTTTTTATGGTTTCTTTTCATTTTCTTTCTTTCATTCTCCCTTTTTATCTATATTATTTTGTTACCTGTGTGTGCTGTTGTAGGGATCATAATAGCTTTGGTCTTTAAGGAAGTTCAGCTGATGCTTAAAAAACTTCTCTAATTGTTCATGCAATTCCCTCCACCACCTTTCAATCTGCAATTTTAAAGAACATTGTGGACTTGATAAGTGATAATTTGACAGAATTTCCAAACTTACATTATACATAACAAGTTGCACTGTAGAGTCCTGTGACATTCCACTGTATCATCTCAACTCCTACAATGCTCCACGGTCTAGACATTTGTTTCATTCTGTTGACAAATATTATATAGGAAACACCTGTGAGACAATTTACGCTACTACAAGTACAGTTAAAAATTTACACATTACTATGCAAGTAGTTGGCTTGCTTGGTGCACATGCACACAGAGTATATTATATACCAGTTTATATGTATGCAGTGCTCAATAGAAGGACTAGAGCGTCATGATCTAGGTGATCTGATATCAATGCAAGATCTGGCTTGGCATTTTATTACTAGTTAGTTACGTACTGCATGGCATGTGCAGCACTGCTCAGATAAAATTACCAATAGTAGGAGGAGTAAATTTAATTTATATGCCTACCTGGTTTGATGTGAATGGTCCATATATGATGGTCTCAATAGGAACCATTTCATCTCCATGCTGTTGACAAAGATTGGCATGCATAGTAGCCATTACTCCTGTTTCCGTCCCTTTGTCAACACGGATAATACTAGCCATTACTTTGGTGTTAAACAAGTGCTCCAGATAGAACCAGCCAATTACATTAGGATCATTATTGGTCATCCAAACCTTCACCAAAAGCAGTTTCCGACTGCAAGTATCAATGCAGCCATAGGAATCCAGTGGTTTCGCCCCGTAACGAGTTCGCCCTATTATAGTTCGCCCCTCAAGGAACCTGGTTCGCCCCCCAAAACGATCGAGTTCGCCCCATGTACATCTGGATCATGTTTATCTACTAGTTTATGTCAGTACGCTAACCTTTTTTTGTTTGTGTCTCCTGGAAGTTTAGTTTATAAAGTCTGCAAGTCCTTTACTTTTGCGTTTGACAAGATAAAAAAATCTTGTGTTTGTTATGTTTGGCCGTCGTCCTGCATTTAACTTCGAAGACATTAAACGGCCATTCTCGTGAAAGTTAAACGTAAAACGGCCATTCTCATGAAAGCTGCGCAACACAATGACTGTTTACTTTGGTATGAGCGAGCACGCACAAAGCTGACATGGCCACGTGTCAAACAGAGCAATATCAACGTTTTTACAAATACGTAAATGTCCACAAATTAAACTATTAAGTTTTTGAGAGGGAAGATCAAAAACTTAATAATTTATCGCTTATAACTCCATTGTACGAACTTGTGACTTTTCATGACAATAAGGCTAATTAGTGTCCCTCGCACAGCTAATAAGAAAGAAGGTGTGATTTTTTTTACTGTCTAGTGCTCTCTTTGCGCTTAGAAAGTAAAGACAGAATTTTCGTTTTAACTTAAACAACTGAATCCTTCCTGTCTGTTAAATTCCAAACAAATCGGACGCAGCATTTTCATTGCCACCAAAATTAAAAGTTTTTAAAAAAGTTCAATCTTTTGTTGCATTAGTGCATTGTCTAACTCTGTTGCTATTGTAGCATTGAACGTATTTTAATTAATTTACTTTCACAAAGGCTTCTAAATATAATTTCCATTAACCAATCAATTGGCTGCAATTTTGATCCGTTGTAAGCAAGGGTTTAGCTATAAAAGGCCTACTTCTTTTTTATCGCTATCCGTTAATTTGAACACTATAGCCTTCAGTCAATCACTGATTCGGAAAATTCAGGAAAAGTAAAAAAAGCAACATGGCAGATGGAGATTTGTGCATCTCGTGTAAATTGATCATGACTACTCGCCAAGGGTATTTTGATTTTTTTTGGTTTCCTAAAGTCATAGAATATGTTAAGTATAAGAAATAGAATGAAGGGAAATAGTAACAAGCACGACGAATATAAAAGCAGTTCTTGTGTACCTTAACAAAGCGGGGTCAATTTGCTTTTCTTTCTCAGGTCAACCCGTGTGAAGCCACAGTAACACAAAGAGCCGACAGTGACTTCATCCCAGGTAAACAGCAGCACAACCACGCCGCAAAAGTCGGAGCTGCCCTCACTGCTAGGATTACAGCTCGAACAAAGAAGGAGGCTGTGGCTAACTTGTTCAAGCCTGCGAGTGCCATTGTGAACCAGGTGTTTCTTGAAGAGCTTACCAACGCACCATGCCCCAGTCTGCATAAACCAGCTGACCTAGCAAGAGCAGCAAACTACCTTCGTCAGAGTCTTCACCCGACCGATCCTAAAGACATGGAGTTTCACCTGGACCACGACCACATTCCAGACTACTTCCTCCGAAAGGATATCACGGTTAGTGCTTTTTTTAAAAAATCAGATTTAGTTTCAAATAGCTTGAAAAAAAACAAAAAAACTAGATAATAACAAAGGCACGTTAGGTCAAATACTTTGTATAGAACTCCACTAAAGCACTAAAACATTGTGATTATACAAACGTTTGTAATTTTCTTTCAACCAAACCGATAGTATATGTGTAGCAGACTGACTTGGTGCAGTAGGCTTTTCGCTGGGACGGGGACCGTACTTATGATCCTTTCTCATTGCATTACAGGTTCGCCGTCGCCATTCCAGCCGTCACCTCATATTTGCCACCGATCAGCAGCTTGATGTGCTTTCCAGATCCAAGAGTTTGTATATAGATGGTACCTTTAAGCTCTGTCGCCATCCGTTTACACAACTGGTATCCATCAACGCTTTCGTGAGAAAGATTCGGAGATCACGCCAAGCAGGTTCCATTGGTGTTTGCCCTGATGTCCGGCAAAAAGAAAAAGGACTACAAGGCGGTGTTTAAAGCAGTCATCGAGATGTTGCCCGTTCACCCGCCGTTAAGGGCATCGTTATCGACTACGAAATGGCTGCCTGGTCTGCGTTGCGGGAGGTGCTTCCTAGCGTGAAGATTACGGGTTGTGTGTTTCACTGGACCCAAGCTGTGTGGAGAAAGGTATGTTATGTTAGTAATCGTTGTTACATGTATGGGCAAATTGGCGACCCGGAAACTGCGACCTATATTCTGAAGATGAGCGAAAAAAACAAGTTTTCCGCATAAATCCAAGGAAGACCAAGGAACTTACTCACTCCTGAGGAAGGTAATGGCTTTGCCATTTTTACCCGAAGCAGAAATTGTGCCAATCTTCGAGCGCCTTCAATGCCAAGTGACAACTGAACGCCCGTCGGATTTCATGGAATATGTCAGCCGCACCTGGGTGCACCGTAACACGTCATAGCTGCCGTCATGTTGGAGCGTTTACCTTCGCTCAGTAAGAACCAATAACAACGTGGAAGGGTGGCACCACGGCCTGAACAGAGGTGGCCACGGAAAGACGCAGCCGCCCTTCTAAGTGCTAATCCAGCTGTTGCACGAAGAAGCAAAACTCACTCGCTGCAGATCTGCTTAGTTTCAGAGAGAAAATTGAAGAGAATGCAGCGCAGCGTCTACCGTCAACTACAATCAAGAATCTTTACCCTGTGGGAGGAATACAAGTCAGGCGAGAGGACGAGCAAGCAGCTCCTACGGGCCTGCGCACGCCTGTATGGTCCACGCAACATATAATTTCTGTAGGTCTAACCCTGGTGCTCCTTTAGGAGACACCAAATGAATAAAAGCAATGACCACACGATCAAATAATATTAGATATATTGGGGGCGAACTCGATTAAATAGAGGCGAAATAATGCTAGATATATCGGGGGGCGAACTCGTTACGAAGGAGGCGAACTCGATTGGAACAGGGTGAATTTGTCGGGGGCGAATTTGCAAGGGGGCGAAACCACTTTCATTCCAGCCATAAACTGCGATCAGGAAGGTGTTATTTTGGTATCCTATTAACTTGTCATGTCCATCAAGGGAATGGACCCAATTCTTTCCTCGAGTAGTGACATGGCCTTTCTTTTTTTTTCTTGAAGCAGGGAGCCCTTTCCTCTAGTGCACCTGGATCCATGCATCCTCGGAGACCCAGGGGCAGTCAGTCGGGTCGAGAGAAAAGGCGTGACGAAAGTTTTCAAGTACAGGCGAATGAGCCCCTGGGTACCAACTCTTAGCGAAGCATTTCCAAAAATTCAAATGGATGCCGGCTCCTGATTGGGCACAAAAAAAACCTTTGTATGATTGTGCCCAATCAGCGAACAGCATCTCCTGAGTTCTTTTCATGTGTTCGTACACGATGGCTATTATCTCGCCATACTTGTCTGGTTCGTTCACCAAGGTTGTGCATGTATATTCGCAAGGGAAATTTTCACTTTCTGCTTCCCTAAACAGAAACGAAGGAACTATCAATGACTCGGAAAAACGTTTAGGATGACTATTCCCATTTGCACCAAGAAAATTCTGCTTCTGACCGATCACAAGGTATCGTAAATAACGTAAATAGAAGGTGTGATCGATAAAAGCTTGAATTGAATACGTCTTGAAAGCTCAAGCTTTAAAATACCCTCACATGCGTTTCCATGTGTTAGTTTTCAGGAAGACAGTATTTTCAAATGGACGGGGATGTTCTGTAACTGAAAGTTTCCTGATTGTGTGCATTTCTTTGGTGAACGAGCCAGACAAGTATGCACGCACGCTTGCATTCCTACGGGTAGAGTAAGAAGGCTTTCTAAATTACCCGTGTTAAGTAGGTTACACTATGCACATGTGATTTATGAAGAATCATGTTAGTAGTTAGCTTTTAACCGATGATGAACACCTCTGGAAATTTCTGTCTGAAGTGTGGTTGCGAGTTTTTGGATAAAAAAAGAAAGAGGAATATTACTGGCGAATTTGGAAAGATTTACCAGGCTGTGTTCAATGAAAATTTAAGTGGAAATGATGCTCTGCCTCGTGCAGTTTGTGCCAGCTGCAAATACCAAATTGAAAAGGCATGGCAACAGTCAAGAAGAGAAGAAGAACAGTCAATTCAATACTTGTCATTGTTAAAAAGAAAACATGCCCAGTCTCCTTTGTCATCAAGTTGTGGTGACGAGCAAACAGTGACCCGAATAGAACGTAAGAAGAAAGGTCACAGCTTTGTTTTTGAAGCCAACTGCCCTGAACAAATGTCGGTAACAGCAAATACACACCCAGCAAAAGAATGTGCATATATTCTACCAAAGTTACTCACACCATCTGCAGCAGTGGCTCATGTATGTGTCAGTGAACTGCCATCAACCATACGTCACGTCAGAGAAGTACATAATGTTGCTACGTAGACTGCAAAATCAAGCTGTCATTGCCAGCCAAGTGCAAAAAAAGGTACATTTGTTAAGGTAAGCAGCCAATATAATATTATTGTTCCACTAATTATCAGGACAGCTTGTCTACAAGATCAGCTAAGTTATGTGTACTGATCTTATCATATTCAAAGATTACTCACGTCATGTCATATTTGGGGAATGAATTCAAAAATACTAGTCTTGGTCCCCAAATAAAATGAACGCTGCAGTGTAATAAACCACTTGCGGAAATTCTAGACAGCACATGTGGCAACTAAACATGTAAGCACTTAGTCATCTGTCCAGATTAGTCTTCTTGTAACGACAGGGCATAAGCACGTGTTTTGCAATAATACCCTAGTTTAGTGGAGTGGCAACTAGTTCTAAATCAGGACCCCTTTTGTCTAAATGACCCACAAGTTGTACCTTAACATAATCTTATAATAACATTGAAAAACTGCTAACTTTCATTATCATGGGCAACAAATATCAATCTAAGCAGTATGCCTTTATTTATGAACGCAGTGAATAATGATGATGTTTTCTTTGTAATGATGTTGATTCAGTTGTAATTTTGTTCTTTAATATACAATGATTCTTATGTTCTGATCAAGGTGATTGTGCACTTCAAATCCAAAACTGTGTCAAGGGAATTACCCAAAGATCAAAGCGGTCTGGGATAGCCCTTTGCTTAAAACGACCTGCTTCAGCAATCACCACAGCTGCTTTTAAATCCAAAAGTTTGAGAAATTCTTTGATTCATCGTGTCTGCCTCCGAGTTAATAAGGAGCGTCGTAAATTGGAGAAAAAATCCTTGCTAAAGAAGACTGCTGTTAGAGACCTCAAACACTTTCAGTGGAATGCAGTTCTCAAAGAATGGATGAAGGAATATTGAATTTATTAAAATGTATGCTCATGTTGGTCCAACATTATATTGCAGCTTACTGTTGTTGAAGAGAGAGGAGAAGAAAGTACTGCAGTGGATACATCATCTGAAGATCCAAATGTTGGTACGATAATGATCTGCAATTTTTAAGAGACATTTGTACGTAGTAGAAATAGCCTGTAGGTGTTCTTAATGCAATAACTATTATACTTACAAATCATTGACAACTGAAATAATCTGCCATTTAATAGAAAAAAATGACAGTAATAAGGATATTAATACTGTAGATTAAAAGCATAGGCATAAATGTTTTCAGAATAGATGTTGCTCACCAAAACCATCTGTAAAACACTCAAATTAGCAATTCAAATAAGCACCCCTTGAGTCTAATATTATTAAAATTAGAGACCCCAAATAAGCACTCCCCCACCCTACCCTCAAGAAAGAAAACATTTACCGAATCTGAATATCTGACATAGAAGTAGAATAGAATATTTTGAACACCAGAACTAGAGGTCTTAAAAGGGAACAGAAATTTGAGAGCGGTCACACAGATTTGTGTTTCTTCTTATAGATACATTCTGCTACTGTGGATCTATTTACTGGGAATGACTTGACAGTTTGTTATTTTGTTAGGCCGAAACATAAAACCAAAGAAGGCACCCTTACCAAATAAGCAATTGCTGTTTAATTAGTGCCTCCTCTCAACTCTGAGAGAATTTTGCTAATTCAAGCATTTACAGTTGTTTTACTTTACTTTTTACCAGACTGTGAAGATGTCCCAGATGGTTTTGATTCAAGGTCAGTAGTGTCAAATGACTCCCTTGTCAGTTCGGTAAATTTAGATTCAGACAACAATGATGATTCTGGAGAAGCTACACCTCTGCAGTACACTATGGCGTGTGTGACTATGGCTTGAATGGGGACAATTTGGACTGGCTCAGAAGACCTTCCATCTACTCAAAGGATAAGGACACTGAGTCAGTGCACTGGTTTAATTTGTTGGCTTATGACAACAGGGTTGCTCACTTGGATTTGAACGATCATACACCTATCAGACACATTATGGAATTACCCAATTCAAGTTTCCTGCCCACACCAGAAGATCATGCAAAACTCAAAAAAGACTTTATTGTGCTTGTCCTTCGTATCCTAACCAACCATTGCAAGTTCTTCATTCAGTTTTCTCACATGATTCCTTCTTACGTTGCTCATCAGTACAGCAAGGAAATGCGTCAGCACTCCCATATTGTAGGTTTCAACTTAACTAATGTTCTGTTCCTTCTGATCAGTTAGTTATTGTTGTAAATGTTATAACATACAGGTATTCCGATTATTATCATCTTTTTTATTGAAAATCACAACTGGCAGTGTACGTTTATAAAGAGATTTGGCTCAAATTTTTCTGCGTAGTTTTTTTATGTTGCTTCATTGCAGAAGTTAGGAATAAGCAAAAGGAATCTAGCAGACCACTTTTTGGATGTATCAGTTTTCTGTTTTTTTTTTTTTTATCCCTTGGGGGGCAGGGGTTTGGGGACAGAAAACTTTGAGGTGCTTCCTTGTTATGGGGGGGGGAGGGGGCATTAGACTTTGGAGATGATCACTGGGGTGTCATGGAAGTTTTCTCATGTCACATAAACCCAAATGTTATCACCGCTATTTTATCAGGATATTCATTGAAATACCATCAAAAAGCCTTTTCATATCAAGCAGAATGAGCTTACAGACATTACCATTCCCAGTGCTGTTTCTTGTACCAGATCTAGAGGAAGAGTGGGGCCAAGCGGACAAGAAGAATAATTTTGCTACTAAATCAGTGTTATATGTTGCTTCCAAAACAACATTCTTTAATGCTGGGAGGGGGTCATTTAATTTTTGTTGTCGTCTGATGGGGGTTGAAAGTTATTGAAAGGAGAGCCGTAGAGCCCCCACCCCATCCGAAAGGCAATCAAAATGATTAATAAAATAACTGAATACCATAGTGGTAACGTAATTAACATGCATGGTTAAAGTACCCTAAAATGGAACACTGCTCTTTAGCCTGCCGGTTGAATCGGTTGTTGTAGATTATTGCATTTTACCTTCTCAAAAATTTTATTTTTGATGAACAGAACCCAGATTTTTAATTAAACTATCAAACAGGTTCTGAAATTATAATATAAGAAATAGAAATGGTAAAAATAATGATAATGATAATAACAATAATAATAATTATAATAATATTTTAGCAGTGAGCCCACTTCAGCAGGTGATCTTCAATGGGTTTCTGAATGTTATTATTTTAAACACCGATGATAAGAAGGTAACAGGTGATAAATTTATTACTTGTACTATTAGCTAAACCCTGTTTTCGAAATCATAAGGGACACTTGGGTCTCTTGGAAAAAATGAGAAAATCCCCGAGATGTTAGAAATTCTTCAGCACTGTAATGAGGAGTATGTTCCAACTAATGCTGACAAGTCCAGAATTTTTCAAAGATACCGCTGGGCGGCGACCATTTAACTGTTGACCGGGCTGTCAGTGCGGTTAACGCCATTGCTGATGCAGATAGTCCTTATGAAAGACTCCATGGCCTTGTGCTAAAATATGAAGATTTTCATTGTGAGATGAATTTTCTACAGGTGATAAATAAAGCAATATGCTCCATTTAACATAAAACTTTGTCCTTATTCGATTTCCATTACTGCTATTTTAATGGTCCACTTATCTTAACAAACATTAGTAACTCTTACTGCACTGGTGGATTATAGGTTATTTTATCAGTAAGAAATTTATTTTCAATGTTATTTTGGATAATCCTATAAATAAAGTATGTATTACTTTAAATATAAATTTGCAGATGCTGTTTGATTATCTCTACAAAAGCCAGTCAGTCGGAGACTTGGGAACCCTGTATCAACTAAAACCAAGATTGAAGAGAAAAGACGTGTGTGACAAAGCAAACAAATCATATCATGGATGTGAAGCATTCTTTAACTCCGTTGTAGATGGGTATAAAGTACATGCAGCCATGGTATTTTTTGGCATGGAATCCCCAAACAGTACTCCTAACTCAAACCAACTGGAACCTGGTGCCACATCACAGACACAGTTGTTTGACGCAGTAGAGAAACTTGTGGAGAAGTGTGTCCTTCTTGAAGCGCAACCTGCAGCAGTACTTTTACTGATATACAACAATCAGAACATCCCCAAATTTTTAAGTGTAGGTACCCAGATTGTAACAGAGAATATCAACACGAGAAGCGGAGAAGCGGAGAAACAACCATGAAGTTACAGTGCATGACCTGAACATAACAAATCATGAGCAAAATGAAAGAAGTCCCCCAGATCCTTGCAATGAAGATGGGATTTTCAATTACTTGCATAACATTCTCAAAACAGGTCTTCTTCTTAAAGATTTCCAAGATGCAATTAAAGAGGGTGACAAAGGAAGAGTTGAATACCTATGGAAATTTATGATGCTGTTGTTTAAAGTGAGTGGGAAGACAAAATATGCTTTGGCAGCTGTAAGGCTCTACGCACAACTTCATGCACTACTAAAACCAAAAGAGGCCCATTCTCTCCGCTGGAACCGTAATGTAAATCTCAAAGGTGGGGTGGGGAGAAACATTGCAATTGATCAAGCCATAGAGCATTGTGTGAGAGACACGAAGCAGCTGATGTATGGCCAAGGTGCAAACCTTTCTTTCAAGGTGGCTCAGACCTACAGCAGGGCTAGTGACGATGTCAAGTCCATCATGGCCAATTTTGATCAGACAACTAATGTCCGCAGAGAGTCAACAAAACACAAAAGAGGGGAAGATTCAGACATCACTACCATTGTCAACATTTTAAAGGAAATTGAAGCATTTTGCGAAGTTCCTGGAAGAACACACCCTAAAGTTGGATCCATCCATAAAGACCCCATATCTGTTCTTGACTTTGCAGACTTAAATGCATGGCTAACAAAGCACAAGAACAGCTGGATNTGGATCCATCCATAAAGACCCCATATCTGTTCTTGACTTTGCAGACTTAAATGCATGGCTAACAAAGCACAAGAACAGCTGGATAAATTCAGTTTAGATGCGCATTCTTACAATTTTTAAGTCAAGTCAAAAAATCTATTCCAAATAGTTGGTTCAGTATGGCCACATAAGGTTTCTCCTAAAAGATTACTAAGGACTTCAACTTTTAAAAGATGGATACAACTTTTTTTCATTTGACCCCACGACAATGGCCTCAATTGCATGCTCTATACTATTAGTGAAAAGGATAATATGTTAGTTGGTTGTCATTACAAGTTTCCCTAATAGTGTTGTAACCAGTTACAAACACCCTCAATTTTGGCGTCTTTTACCTTAAAAAGAAGAAAAAATTTGTTGGCCAGACAGAGCAAGTGAGTCATTTTAAATTTTCAAAAACTAACAGTGGCTATCAACTCTCCTAGCCAAATTTCTTCAAAATC